TCCATTGAAACCCCCTCGCGATGGCCACGGCTGCATCCACGCTGCGGAGCTTGGGGACCCTCGTGGGGATGGAAGAGCAGCTGGGGGGTCCCCAAGGACTGTCAGCTCTGGGAAAACATCCCCTCCAGGGTGTACCCAGATTTTAACAACTCCTTTAGAGCCAGCTCAAGGCTCTCGGCAAAGGATTGCCCACGTTTCACTAGAAGCTCCGTGGATCCCCATTTAAAAAAAAGCCCAGGAGGATGCAGGATGGTCTGAGCAATGGGAGGGAATCGTACACGGCCCTATCCCTGACCCAGCCCCATGGCAGGCAACTGGCACAGCCAGACTCCGGGCTGGGCACGGCAGTGGGGAAACCCAGAGACAGCACCTTGGTGCAGATTAAGCTGATTTTTGTAATTTGGGGCTGGAGAGGAGCAAGGCTGCACACCCTGGCACGCCCTCGGGGAGAGCTGGGAGGACGGGGACAGCCAGGCTCATGCTGACCCAGGACCCCTTCCCGAGTCCGATCAGTGCTCCTTCAGTGCAGAACTGACAGAGCAGCACAAAGCCAAGAAGCAGCAGAAAAAGAGGTGAAAGACTTGAAAAATACAGCAGGGGAGAGGGACAGTGGAGCAAAGCTCCAGAGCCCTGGGGGCTAAGGGATGTCCCTGGGACTTTGTTCCTTGGTCCCCAGGGACACCTGACATGTCTGGAAGGAGGGCACATGCCCAGAGGGATGCACAAGCACACAGAAGCCCAGTTTGAGGGAAGGTTTGGAGTCTGCCCAGTACAGCACCATCACCCCCAGTAACTCCCAGCTAGTGCTGGGGTCGTGGAGAAGGGCTGAGCTGGGAGAAGGGGATCAGGTCTCCTTACCCTTTCCGAATGACAACGATGATGGCTCCCAGGAGGATAATCAGGACGATGAGCCCTCCAGCACAAATCCCCAGGATCAGGCCCATCTCCTCCGAGTGCTGCGACACCTCCAAGGGACGTTTGCTCTCTTTGCAGGCAGCTGCCAGGGGACAAGGACGGGCAGGAGGGGGTCAACGCGCAGTTCCCCAACCACAGCCGCAGAATCAGGCCCACAGCCTCGGCGGGATCACACCGGCTGGGAAAGGGAGGGCTCACCTTTGCGAGCGATCCGGACACAGTTCAGCCGGGTTTCCTAAAAAAACAAGAGGGAGGGGGTCAGTGTCAGAGAAGCACTTTGGCAGCTTCGCTCCCCACTCCGAGCAAGGCTGGGCAAATGTGAGGCTGGGCTGCTGGTGCTTTGCCCCTCAAATCGAGGGAGTTTGCAAGAGATCTGTGCTGCAGCATCTGCTGCTGAGCCAAAGGAGCTCCTGGGGACACTCGCACCAGGAGATGCTGCTGAAGGATCTGTCCCCAGCGTCCCCGGGTTCAGCCAAGGCCGTCGCTCCTGGCACAGAAGGGAGGGCAAAGCTCGGCGTCATCGAAGGAAGGACCCAGCAGAACCAGACGAGCCGCAGGTCACCATCTTGTCACCAACTACAGCCACAATGCTCCCAGCTCATCATTCAGAGCTTCATGGGGTTTTTTTAATCAATCAAAGTTTTTAAGTCCCAGCCCCCGTGTTCTGTGCCTGCTGCCATGGTTGCCATGAGGGCTTCCAGCTCGGGTCTCCATCAGTTCTAGCGTTCGCACTTTTAGGGATGGGTTCACCTAAAACATTCCATTTTTCCAGGCATCCAACTTCTGTTGCAAAATAAAAAGCACCATTTGGGCAGGATTGCCTTCACCCTCAAGCATCCTTCAGCCCCTCAGGACACCAGTGCTGGCAATGTTACTCCATCCATCCTTGGACTGAGACCAGGGCAGGGCAAGCTCCGGCATCGCTGTCCCCAAGGTCACCAGCTCTTCTGCTTCTTGCTCCATCTGGCACAAAAACCATCCAGCTTTTTCATGACATCTGACGACAGCCGGGACAAATCCACTGCCTCCCAGCAGGAAGGCTATAAAACAGCGTCAGCCACCAGTTATTATCCAGTCAGAGCCAAGATCCTTCCTGTCCATCTCAGCTCTAATTATGACCCAGCGAGGTGCGAACAATCCCGGAGCAGACGAAAAGATTCAAAAATCGGCACCTTTCCGGCTCAGACAGAGCTGTGCAGAAGGAGGACACTGCCATGGTCCTGCTGCTTCGTGCAATGGGAGTTAGTGGAACAGGTGAAGCCAAAAAGCATCCCCTGGGGGTCCCGGTGGTCCAGCCGGTGACTTGAGAGAAATCATCCCGGTGGGATGCGAGGGTTGCTGCTGGAGAGCAGGCAGCAGCGGGCAGGGAGAAGACAGCCTGGGAACTCAGCAGCTTCCCCGGAGCTCTCTGCAGCTGCCCCTGTGGCAGCAGCGGGTCCCAGTAACACACACACAGCTCTTGCTGCTCAAATGGTCCTTCTCCACCCCAGGATTAGCCCCAGGCAGGTGGTTTCCCTGACCCTGGTGATGGTTGGGGTCCCAGCTGGAACCACAGTGGCCTCGACACTGGGAGGCGACGGGCACAGCCCAGGGGTGCCGGGAAGAGGAGGGACACCCACCCCTGATCCCAGTGTGCTGTAACGGTGCCCCGGTATTCCACGGCAGGACGCTGAGGGTGAGCCCAGAAGGAGGGTCCAAGGAAGGGGGATCTATAACAAGACCCATTTTTGCTGAATCCCCCCTCTCCAGACCCCAGCTGGGCTCCCGCCTGGTGCAGACAGGACCTCAGACACAGGACGGAGTAGGGTCCCACAGCTACTCACTCCTTTGAGGTTGCTCATGGCTTGGAAGTAGATGAGATAAGCCTTC